ATGCATGCCCACACATTATGAGAGAGTGTAAAATTGTGTATCAAAACAATGCCCTTCACTAAGACCCATCTTGCAATACAAGAAATAAATCTGTTTCTATTTGTTACTCTTCGAGGCAAATTTGTACTTTAATCAATCCATTTCCAAGTTATTTTTTCAAGATCCTAATCTGGGGAACATTTGGAATATGAGAATATATTATATGCAAAAAATTTCACTTCAATTTTCAACATGATTGAAACATTCATTTATTGAGTCCTTATCCTTATGAGCAGATAAACACAAATCCTCTTAGGAAACTGGCAGATGCCACATTGCTACCTATGTTTAGTTGATTCTCTTTTGAAAAAAATAATCACTAGCCTCAAATGTGAAAAGCTTCGACTATTACCAATTAGCAGACAGAAAAGTCAAGAGATCAAACATAATCCTTTATTATAAAATATATTCAGAAACTTTGCAGTAAGGGGCCTGCAAAGCATGCATTTCCAGCAAAAATGGAACTAATTCATATATTACAAGAATATATCCTTTGAATATATGTTCAGTCTTTGATAATCCAGAGTTCACTTTGTATCTGAATTTTGTATTTAAAAAATGCATGCAGGCCATTCTTTTTAGCATATCATAAATATGGGAGTGTTATTTATTTAAAACATTTCTGGCCTTGTTTAGAAAATGCTAAACCATAGTTAGCATTACATGTATAAGCCTTAGACTTTTTCATTGCTTTCCCATTTATATTTTCAGATGCCTCCACCAGGAAGAGTTCAGAGGTTTTACTTTCATTTTCAATTAACTGCAATTTAGTACTATCTTAAAAGATTTTATGTTTATTGGAAACAAATCAATTTTATAAGCTAGGGTTGAATTTGGCTCACTTTCATTAAGTCACAATTTATTAGTCATAAACTAAACCGCGTTCACCTGAAACAAGCAAAAGCTTCTAAGTTCTTTCTCACACTTGAAATTAAGAAACAGGAGCTTGTAAACTTGATGTTCATTCATATAATGGATCAGGAGAAGAGGCAGTTTTTTTCACTATTAATCAGGGCTAATAACAATAAAATTTCACAATCACCTCTTTCTGAAGTTCTTGGATTAATGCTTCTTTTTTAATTAAGTCTTCTTGTGCTGACTGAAGAAGTGCTCCATGATTTTTAGAAGCTTCCGTTAAATTGCGCAGCTGTTCAGAGGTATGATCCAGCTCCTCACAAAGAATCTCCTTCTATGTAAACAAATAACCTCTGTAACTAATAGCTCAGCAAATAAGATTGTTCATGATACAATTAGCATGCACACAAACACATAGCCTTTGCTGTTTCTGCATTTTTTAAAGCTGTGCTTTAAAATAAATGTAATAGAATGGTTCTAGTTACCTAGAATTTAAAATCTTAGATAAAATTATTTTACATAGCCGTTCTAGGGCCAATTAATATTATTCTAAAGTTAAGTTGTTTGTGCAGTACAACTCTGTAAAGCCACACTATTCAATACAGTTTAAAATAAAGCTGGAAGCTAGAAAGGTTATTATCACATTCTATAAATTAACAGATTATATGAATGTAAACCAGGAATAGGCAACGTAATGCCTTCCAGAAATTTTGGATTACAGTACCTAAAAAACAAAACAAAACAAAACCCCGTATAAAATGAATAATGTTATCATTGGAGCTACTTGGGTTACTTGAGGGACTGCCTCTTCCAGATTACATCTACCCGCCCTATCAGGTCCGGCAGAAGACGTATGTTATGGGTTATTTACTAAGGAGCTACATCTGGCGGGACCTAGGAGATGGGCCTTTTCTGCCATGGCACCTGCCCTGTGGAACATCATCCCCCCCAACGTGAGATTGGCCCCATCCCTGTTAACTTTCTGTAAGTCTGTTAAAACTTGGTTATGTCATCAGGCCTGGGGTCTCAAGGGATTGGTGAGTTAATGAGATGGTTCCACTGTCTGTAAGATCTGATGCTCTCTCCTTCCCTTTTTAATTATATACTAATGTTTTAATTGTTGATTGCTTTTTTATATTGCTGTTTTATAATTTTTATTGTAAGTCACCCAGAGTCACGTTTTGTGAGATGGGTGGCTATATAAATATAAGTAAAACAAATAAAAATAATAAATAATGGTCTGAAGTTGTGGGAGTTTGTAGTCCAATCATCTGGGGGCAGCAAACTGTGCAACGTCAGTTAAGTTATAGATTTTTCTGCAGTGGAGATTACTCCAACCTTGCATTTCCTGTAAACAGATTAAGTAACTACATGAATCAAATTTTGAAGCTAGTGATAGCTAGCATGACAAGGCAATCCAGAGCTGGGCTTCTATGAAAATCTTGTTTAAAACAGGCAAATAACTGCAGCCAGGTGTTTTTTCTCCCTAAAGAGGAAGAAGTACATCAATTGCAGAATCCTGTTTCTAAAGCAGATGAAGGACACATTCCTGAATAACCTTCATGAGGCTTAGTCATGAAATAAGTACAGCTACAGTATAATTCAAAACTAAATTTATATATTTCTTGGAGTACCTGTTAAAATTAAGAAAGACATCCTGAATGTGACAATACACTGCATATATGTTTACTTTTTGGGATGTTGGTAACAGCATGCTGGCTTGCATGTAGTATCTATATTACATATCCAAGCTTGTACAGAACAGCACAAACATGTTTGGAGTAAAGCAGGGCTGTGGTTGTACTTATGACAGATAGATCAAAATGTGCCAAAGTTGACCAATACTGTCTTTGCTGTTAGCAGGGTTAGGGTTAGTAAGTAATGTGTGCAATGCAGTATCTGTGTTATACATTATCTTACTACAGTTATGTGAAAGCTTTAATTGACCAAAGTCATGATAAGCAATGGATGTGAGTATTAATGGGCCCATCTGGTAATGATAATGAAATATGGAACACCATTGTTTGAAATATAAAAAGAATAAATAATAAAGCATAGGGATTAATAAATAAAATTAAAGAAAAATATTGTGTGTCTGTGAAGCTAAGAAAAAGGGAAAAGATGTAATAGATCTGAATGAAGATTGTCTGAACTTGCAGAGTGGGGCTGATGATGCATGCAGGGAAGTAAAGATTTATGTTTAATTATTTGCAAAACAAATATATTAAGGAAAAATAAAAAATTAATAAAGGGGAAGACCAAAAAAGTTGTAGTTGGATGGAATTGATGAGATTGTGAAAAAGAGAGAAGTGAAGTTTATAGAACAAAACTTTTTGAATGAAGCAATGTATGGTCATGATGGAAGCAAGGATGGCTTATAAGGATAGAAAAGTCTGGAGAGATAAAACAAATGTTGCTGGTATAAACCAATTTTAGCTGTTTCTTTTTATTTTTTCATGCCTTTAATTTCTTTGGTTTACTCTTTCTTACCCCCTTTCTGTTCTTTGTATAATGTTGCTTACTCCAAAAGGAAATTACATAATCTAGTCCTGAGTCAAGTGCTGAAACAGCTCTAAACAGCCAAAGCTGCATGTGAACCTTCCATATTGTTCCCAAAGAAAATATATGGATGTTTTCCATGAAGACAAAAGCAGTTGAACTTGCCTCAAGACAGTCCTTAGTTTATGGACTGGATGAGGGCAACAAAATGTAATCCACACAAGACAGAGATATTCCTTATCAGAAGAAATGTAAATTAAAACTCAAGTAAGTCTTTAGCTTGTACTACCATCAGATTTCCAAAGTAAGTATCACAGAAGAACTTTGTACTTTAAATGTTAGATAAAAAAATATTTTAAAAATAATACATAATCTAATACATGTTCTTAGAAATAATTTCCATTGAGCCCAAGAATTTATGCCAAATTTAATGCCATTTAATTCTTGCTATCTTTTATTTATTTATTTATGCAATTTATATGGCCGCCCAAGTCACTCACAGTGACTCCAGGCAGCTTACAGGAATAAAAATCCAAAATCCAAAACCCACTACACCCCCCTGACCCTCTGGCAACAACAACACATTTATACTAGCCATTTGATGGGCTCTGTATCAACCTGGGATCACCAGGCCCACTGGCAAAACCATCTCTTCAGGGCATTGCGGAAGAGCATCAAGGTGGGGGCCAGTCTTATCTCTGCGGGGATTTTTTGGTTTCTGATTGTGTCCATTGATTAAAACATTATTCAGTAAGAGCTGAAATTTGTTAAAAAACATCAGAGTTCTGATTTTATACTTGGTCATGATTAGCTGGGTCAAGAAAAAGATATAATTTTTTATTCCAACTAAATGATTTATGTCAATTAGGAATTTTATGTACATATTTCAGTATGTGACTGAATTATAAAACGTGATACATACTGTAAAATAGGAAGATACACCATGAATCTTACCTCAATTTTATCAGCAACCCGTATTCTCTCCAAGGTGTCTCTCAAATCTTCAATCTGTCTCTTCTGATCTTCAATAATAGTTTCGTTTTCTTCTTTTGCAATCAAAGTGGAATTATACTTACTCTAAGTAAACAAGCAAGAATCTCACATTATGGTAGAAACATTTTAATACTAATCAGTAATGAAAACTGCTGAGAATAGGCTCTGTAACACACATCCCTTACCCCTTGTCTCCCATATCTACAGTATGAAGAATTAAGATTAAATATATTGGCTTGAATAATACCACAAAATAAGAAATCTTGCCCAAAATAAATATCCTGTAACAATATTGCTATTTACATATTCTAGTTATTAACCAGAAGTTTCTCCTAATTTTGCTATTACAATTTTTTATTTTTAGAACATCCAAGCTTTTGCTCCATGCCCACATTTCAGTTGTTCAGCTGCTAAAACAGACGCAGAACATTCAGCATAATCTGCTGATCAAAGAGCTCCAACTGCTTTTATTCCACTTTTACCCTTCACTTGTGGTACCATGTGGGTATGAATGTAGCATACTTTTAGGTCCTCTAGCTCACTTATGAGCCCTTCTATGCATTCTGTCTTCTGACTGGCAGACATCCTCATCTCCAGAATCTGGCTCATGAGATCTGTTATAACCCCCTAAAACAGCAAAGCAGAATTAATTGTGACTTTTTAAAGATGCATAATTTTGTACAACAACAGTCAGCATCACCAGATTTGTTGTCTATGGACACAAACACCTAAACAGTTCTTGCTGTCAAATCTGCTTTTAAGGTAAGAGAAGAAACTTATCTTCTCTGTTGTTCACTTTTCCTAGCCTCCTGGATTGCTCCCCCCGCCCCCAACCAATGAAACCTCGTTTTAATAGACCATTTGGTGAGAACATGTCCATTATTCCTGAATTCTGTTAAATACAGAAGTATGTCATCATGGTAAATTTCTGCCATTTTATCTGATGATATCATTGCATAAATGATACAAATCACCATGGAAATCATAACATGAATGTAAACTTAACATAAATGTACTTATTCCTCCAGACTATTTCAGACACCACACACTTGTCAGTTATTTCGGGAGGATTTCTGGGTGGAAATCTGGTCTGCTGAATTGAAAGTCTGCTAAATAGTAGCCAATTAAAACAAAGTTTCATTGTTTTTCATATGCTTTCTAAGAAAACCATAACTACTTCATGTAATGTATTTATTTCTTCACAACTGTATTTTATCTTTCCTTTCTGTTCAGTTTAACTGCTCTGTGATCTCAAGAAAAGATGCATTTCGTTTAAAGAGTTGCAGACAGCTGTTATCTTTATGCTACAAAGTATTTTTTTATCTTTGATTCCATGACACTGCAGAGTACTACAGGGTTATCTCTACTGAAATATATATGAAAAAGCTAATACTAAAGTCCACTGGGGTACATTTTATTCCCAGTAACTAGTTAAAGTAGGATAAGGAAAATAATTTAGAATTTTGCCTGTACAGTATTGTTCCATTTTTTAGTGTGTTTATACCACTTTAAGAGCACCAGAGAAGATTTTTTTTCTTGTTCCTCAGCCTCCCCATATGCTAGATGAATGAAAACCCACACTGTTTTCATACTATAGGGGATTCACTATAAAGAGTGAATTTTGCTGCAAGTTGGCTTTACTGCAAAACAGTAATAATAATATTTAATAGACTTGACTTCATTAAAAGTATTAAAGAAAAAAAGATCCAGGTTGTTAGCTTGTTTAGCAGGCCAGATTTTGGAAAAGTGAAACTAACTCTAGAACTATTACCTTGGAGCAGTTCAGGGAATGGGCATGGTATACAAATCTGGGGCTTCACTCAGTCTCATAAAGATTTTATGTTAGTTTCGGATTATGTGTGAACTGGCCCTATATTTATAAAGAATACAACTGAAATTGTACACATTACCTTATCAGCAGTGTTTATTTTTTGCAAAGAAGCAACTGTCTCTTCAGCAGCAATTAAATCTTCCTCCAATTTCTGCAATTTTGCTTCCTAGAAGAAAATTACCTACTCTTAAACTTTGTTTTCATGCACTTGAGATGGAAAAAAGATTACAACCTCTTGGGGGTTTTGCAAAAATAGAAACCAAATACCATAAAGAAATTCATAATTGGAACTTTCTGAATTTAAAGAATAGGTTGTAGTACCTGCTGCTCACATCTTGACACCATTTCATAGGACTGTTTTTCTAGCTCTGAGATTTGAAGTGCTTTCAAGTGTTCCCTTAGAAGAGAATGGATACGTCCTTTTAGGAATCCTCATTTATATATTTAAAGAAAGGTACTAAAAGCAAACCAGTTTGTCTAATTCACTGTTGTTCTAATAGGGCTTATGTTTTAGCCTAATATTTAAATGATAATTTTATTACCAAGGGGAAACAAAATCCTTCTCAACTCATTATGGTAATAATTAGAACTCTCTCAACAAGCTACCGTATTTTTCCGACTATAAGACGATACTTTTTTCTAAAATCCTTACCCTAAAA